CACTTCTGGGGTCCCATCTTCTGCAGCCTCCTCTGTTGTTACCCCTCCCATACCCACTCTGGCATCTAATCCTTTTGCTGTCCTTGGCTCTGACGTCCCGACTACAATTCAGACTGTTCTCACATCTTCGCGTCCTTCCTCACAAGCCCCAGTATCGACAAGACCTCGTACGACACCTAATACCAATCGCCCTTCAAACTTCTCAGAAGTCCAAAAAATCCACATTGCTCAAATCTTCTTTGCCCCTTCCTTCCCTTCTTCACCTCCACACTTTACCTTTCCAGTCTCTGTACCTAGTTCTTCCCCTCTCTCTGGCTCTATTACAAGTGTGGAGATTCACCCTCCTCCTCGTACTATGCCTTCCACCCCCCCGCCCCCTCCCAAGTTTCTCCCTCTTCTGCCACCTCCCAGGTTTCGCCTCTTCTGTCCCCCCCACACTTCATCTCCAGTTTCTTACACTTTCCCTCCCCCTCTATTTTGGTACAGTCCATTACTGCCCCAATCTTTACTCACCCTCCTCCTTCTATCTCCAATATGGTCTCCCATACATCTTTGAATTCAAGAAACACTTGAAGCCATTTCAGAATATATTGCAGAGACTAAACCTTCAATGGACACTGATTCATTTCCCTGTTCCTTCTCTTCCCTCTCCTCCATCTTCACAACCCCATTCTTCGCACGCTCCGTTCCTTCGCTACTTAAACATCTTCCAATGCCCCCACACGTTGACTTTTCTAACCCCCTCTAGTCCGTAGGTGCCTTTACCAAGATTCTGGTATTTTCTCATCGCCAATCAGGGCCTATTTACAGTGGAATATCCGCGGCCTCAGGGTAATGGGGGTGAGCTTCAGATGTTGCTTTCCGGGTTTTCCCCTGTTGGTGCTTGTTGCAAGAACCAAAATTACACTCGGCTGTCTTCCAACCTATCTCAGGCTATAATTTATTGTATTCTTCGAATCCTTTCTCAGATGGGACCTTTAATGAAAGTCCCCTTTCTACGCAATGATATTCCATACTGTCAACTATTTGTCCATACCTCCTGCATTACACTGCAGCCCGTATCCATTTTGAAATAATTGGTTTACAATATGTTCTTTATATCTCTCTCCTTCTCGAGCATTTTCTATCCCAGACTTTGCCTTTCTTGTTTCATCCTTACCACCACCACTTCTGTTATTTGGGTTTGATTTAATGCCCACCATTTCCTCTGGGGGGGTCTCATTGTGACTCACGTGGCATCCAGTTGGAGGCTTTTCTCGCCTCTCACCTCCTCCATGTTTTAAATACGGGTACTCCCACCCATTTTGATCCTCGTACTCATACTCTCTCTTGCATCGATCTATCAGTCTGCTTTTTCCCTCCACTGCACTAGACTTCACCTGGTCTGTTCAAACCGGACTTACATGACAGCGATTATTTTCCGATCATTCTTACTTCTTCCTATTCACCACCTTTCCGTAGCCCTCGCTCGCAATTTGATCGGGCAAATTGGGATCTTTACTTGCACCTCACTGCTTTTAGTGAGGTTCCTTCTTCATCCTCCCTTGATGAGCTCCTACACATCTTCTCGACGTCAGTTTATACCACAGCTTCTCATCGTACCCCCAAAACCCCAGGCAGGCATTCTCAGAAGTGCGTTTCCTTGGTGGTCTCCTGCTTTGCTCGTGCAGTTAAAGTTTGAAAAAGTTTCTGCAGGGGCAGGTACTGGACAATAGAACCGCTGAGAGACTTCTAATTTTAAGCAGAAGCGTGCGATCGCTCGCCGTGTCATCCGTGAAGCTAAACGCACTTGTTGGCGAGACTGTTTCCACCATCACCTCTGCTTCTGGAAAAAAGTGAGGAAATTGAGTGGTAAATACTATCCTGACCCGGCTCCTGTTCTACGGGTCGCTGGTGTTGATGTAGCAAACCCTCTCGACGTTGCCATTGAACTTGGCACACATCTGGTCCGTATTTCCCGAGGGCTCTATCTATGCCCCTCGTTTCTTTCCTCAACGTCTGCCAGAGAGTTAGTACCCTTGGACTTTTCTTCTCTCAGAGAAGAACAGTATAATGTGCCTTTTACACTTCAAGAACTGGAGGCAACGCTCTCAGCTTGCCTATCATCGGCAGCTGGGCCTGACGACATTCATATTCGTATGTTACAACATTTACATCGGTCAGCCCTTGTAGTCCTCTTACACCTCTTCAATCTTATTTGGGCACAAGGAGTTCTTCCCCAGCTGTGAATCTGCCATTGTTCTCCCTTTCCGCAAACCGGGTACTACAGGACATGATGCCTCCCACTATCGTCCCATCGCTCTTTACAAATGCAGTTTGCAAAGTGATGTAACGTCTCGTAAATCGACGTTTAATGTGGTACTATTTAGAGACACACAACAGTCTCTCCGCTAGTCAATAGGCTTTCGAAGGGTCGTTCTACCAAAAGACCCCTTTCTACGCTTGGATACGTATGTTCGTAATGCCTTTGCGATTAATCACTCAGTTATTCCATATTTTTTGACCTTGAGAAGGCATATGACACAACTTGGAGGTATAATATTTTGGCCCAGGCCCCTTCCTTAGGCCTCCGAGGCAATCTCCATCCTTCCTTAAGAACTTTTTAACTGACAAACATTTCCGTGTTCGAGTCAGTAATGTTCTTTCCCCGGACTTCGTCCAAGCTGAAGGTGTCCCTCAGGGATGTGTTCTAAGCACAACACTTTTTCTCCTTGCTATAAATATTGGCCTCTGTTCTTCCGCCCAATATTGGTCATCACTCTATTTTGATGACTTCGCTATTGCTTGTGCAGGCGCTGACTGTCATCTTATTGCAGTTTCTCTCCAGCATGCGGTCGGGCCGTGTTTCCACTTGGGGCCACCACGCATGGGTTTAAATTTTCAAGTACCAAAACTCGCCAAATTACTTTCACTAGACGCTCTGTTATCTCCGATCATCCTTTGTATCTTTATGGCTCCCGTATCCCCGAACGTGATACAATCAGATTTCTAGGCCTTCTCTTTGACCGTAGGTTATCCTGGAAACCTCACATTACCTCTCTGAAGGCAACTTGTCACAGCCGGCTGAACCTTCTTAAAACCCTTGCTCTTTCCTGGGGAGCTGATCGTCGAACTCTGCTTCGCCTACATTCAGCCCTCGTTTTATCGAAACTCGATTATGGTGACCAGATTTATTCTGCGGCCTCTCCTGCTACTCTCTCTAGCCTTAACTCTATCCATCACCAAGGCTTACGTTTGTGCCTTGGTGCTTTTTTTGCTCTTCCCCTGTTGAGACCTCTATACAGAAGCGAATGTTCCATCTTTGTCTGATCGCCGTGATTCCCATTGCCTTCGCTACTATGTACCTCTCACATCTACACAATACCTTTCCATATATAGAATGGTCAACCCATATTAGTAGACATTCTTTATTCCATTCGCCCGCCCCTGTTTCTCCCCCCTTTTCTCTTCCCCCTACATTCACTCTTTTCCCTTTCCCTTTAGTTACCAACCTTTATATGTTCAATTAGCCTCACCCTTTCCCTACCCCCCTGGAAGTTTCCAGCTGTTCGGTCTGTTCTTTCTCACTCCCTTCCCGAAAGCTCAACTGCCTACGGGGCTTCCCGCTCTCTTTTTCCCTTTATCACTTCCACTCCCAATTCTCATGCCACCGCTGTGTACACAGATGGCTCTAAGTCTTCAGACGGCGTCGGATTCGCAGCAAGTTTCCGGACAGCGTTGTGCGGGGGCATTTACTATCTTCAGCTAGCATTTTTACTGCTGAACTGTATGCCATTCTTGCAGCACTTATTCGTATCGCATCTATGCCTGTGTCATCATTTGTAGTAGTCTCAGACTCCCTTAGTGCCTACAGGCTATACAAAATTTGATACATCTCATCCCCTAGTTCTCCGTATCCAACTTTGGCTACGCCGTATCTCTACCAAACATAAAGATATTGTTTTTTGTTGGGTCCCTGGTCATGTCGACGTACAGGGCAATGAACAGGCAGACAAATGCTGCGCGGTCCAGCAGTACATGACCTACCAATTTCCTATCGCGGTTTTCCATTTCTGGACTATTTTGCTGCAATAGCTACCCACCTTCACACCCGTGGCAACAACGTTGGTTAACCTGCTCGGTAACAAACTTCATTCTATTAAACCGAGTATAGGGTTTCTGGCCGTCTTCTTGCCATCAGTGCCGAGGTTGGGAGACCACTCTCCCCGCCTTCGCATTGGCCACACTCGTCTTACTCATGGGTATCTCATGGAGAGGCACCCTGTACCTCTCTGTGAGCAGTGTCAAGTTCCAGTATCGATTAGCCACATTCTGTTAGACTGCCCTCTCTATCACAAGCACGCAGAATTTACCCCCCAATGTCGTCTTCGTTCTACTACTCTCTCTTTACCTTCCCTTCTTGCTGATGGACCCTCCTTTAATCCTGACTCTCTCATTGGGCTTCTTTACAACGACTGATTTACTCCACAAACTCTGATGATACTTTTCGCTCTCCCCTCAGCCCTTTCTAGTTCAGTCTCTTGCTGCCCTTTACCCTTTCACCATCCACTACCCAGCTGTTATCCGTAACCTATTACTCATCCATCTCCCTTTTGCCACCTGATGCCCTCGCTTCCTTCCTGCCCTGCAGCGCTGTATAGTCCTTGTGGCTTAGCGCTTCTTTTTGATTATAATAATAATAATAATAATAATTCACTTTTTCACTACACAGTACTGAAAGAAAGAAAAGAGAAAGCCAGAATAATTACAAGACCAGCTTCTGCAGTTTTCTCATGATATATGCAGGGATAGGCAAGTATTACAGGGGGCTGGAGATATTTTGCTTGGTTATGGCCATGGTAGAAACATATCTCGTTATTTATTCTTTTGGCTCGAAAGTATTGTACAGAGTGGACAATGGGCAACATTATTCATTTGGCGTTTCCTCGGAAAAAAAAGTGGATTGTGTTTAAAAAGAGTATTTTACTGTACACTCACCAGTTGACAATAGTGATTTTTACTAATGCTTTTTATTTTATTACAGAGTGGATAAAATTCATATTGACCCTGTGATATACCTGAAAAAAAAAATTAAACACTACTTAACCATTATTTAGTAGTTCAGTATCTCGACCAATTTCAAGTGATTAAAATATCTCTGAGACGTAAGGAATATTTTATTATAGAATTTCCACATTCCAAGATTAGATGGGTAAAAATAAAAAAAAAAGCAAAAATTCATCAAGCAAATCTTCTGAAGGCTATAATGCAGCATCTTCTCAAGGTTTCTTTGAAGAAATGTTTAGTACCCCTAACAAACAAAAAAGGGCAGGTAAACAAAATACTAATAAGAACCAAGAATATCCTCAAAAAAATTGCAACAAGAATAACTATTGCCAGGGACAGCAAGACAGTATTCCAGATAATAAATGGAAAGAAAATCATGGCAATGGAAAATCTCAACACTATGCCAATAACACCCAAGATCGAGAACCTAGGAAAAAGAATAACAGTTCACGGTAGGTGATATCTTAAATGCTAAATTTTTAGTAAATTTTAATGCCTTAAGATTTTTCTTTTTTTTTTTTTAATGCACAATATACAGTGGACCCCCAACATTCGATATTAATCCGTTCCTGAGAGCTCATCGAATGTCAAAAATATCGAAAGGCGAATTAATTTTCCCCATAAGAAATAATGGAAATCAAATTAATCCGTGCAAGACACCCAAAAAAAAATTTTCCACATGAAATATTAGTTTAATGCAATAGAATAATTACAGTAACAACAATAACAATAGATTAATAACAATAGAATAATTAACACTTACCTTTAATGAAGATCTGGTGATGATTGATAGGATGGGAGGAGGGGAGAGTATGGATGATGTTAGTGTTTAGAAGGGGAATCCCCTTCCATTAGGACTTGAGGTATCAAGTCTTTTTCCAGGGTTACTTCCCTTCTTCTTTTAATGCCACTAGGACCAGCTTGAGAGTCACTAGACCTCTGTCGCACAACATATATGTCCATAGAGGCCTGTACCTCTCGTTCCTTTATGGCTTTCCTAAAGTGGTTCACAACATTGTCAGTGTACAGGTTGCCAACACGGCTTGCAGTAGCTGTGTCAGGGTGATTTTCATCAAAAAAGGTTTGCACTTCAAGCCACTTTGCACACATTTCCTTAATCTTTGAAGTAGGCAACTTCTTCAATTTCTCTCTCCCCTCCTCCGAAGCAATTTCCTCAGGTGTGGCCTCTTGCTGTTGAAGATGATCTAGCAGCTATCAGTGGTTAGTTCATCATTGTCCTCCTCCACCAACTCTTCCACATCCTCCCCACTAACCTCCAACCCCAAGGACTTCCCCAATGCCACAATGTATTCCTCAACTTCTCAGGGTTAGCCTCAAACCCTTCAAAATCCCTTTTGTCTACACATTCTGGCCACAGTTTTTTCCAAGCAGAATTCAAGGTCCTCTTAGTCACTTCCTCCCAAGCCTTACCTATAAGGTTTATACAATTGAGGATATTAAAGTGATCCTTCCAAAACTCTTTTAGTGTCAGTTGAGTTTCTGTGGTCACTACAAAGCACTTTTGAAACATAGCTTTTGTGTACAGTTTCTTGAAGTTGGAAATGACCTGCTGGTCCATGGGCTGCAGGAGAGGAGTGGAATTAGGAGGCAAAAACTTGACCTTAACCCTTTCAGGGTCGACAGGCCCTCTCAGAGACTTGTTCTCAGGGTCGGCCAAATTTCAAAAAAAAAAAAAAAAAAAAAAAAAAAAAAAAAAATCTTATGAAAAGACAGAGAATCTTTTCCCGATCATAATGACACCAAAAGTATGAAATTTGATGGAAAACATACAGAATTATGCTCTCGCAAAGTTAGTGGTCTCGACGAGGTTTACGCATCGGCGATTTTGCCCACTTTGAGCCCTATTTTTGGCCAATTCCAATGTATTTGTTACAAAAATCATAACTATTTTGCTAGAACTCCTTTTTTTTCTATTAAATGAGTAAAAGAAACCCCCCATTTCCGTTTTCAACTATCCAGACAGTGGTCAAAATTTAGAAATTTTGGGCCTATTTCACACAAATTTCAAAAGATGCCAATTTGAATGGGCCCAAAATAAACAAAAAAGACATTCCTGGCACTAAAATAACTTTTTTGTTCTTAGTCTGTCCCATGCCCCCTTACATTTTTTTGCTTTCCATTTTTTGAATTTTTATTCTCACAAAAAAAAAAATTTTACTATTATCAACTACTCATTGGTGAAAAAATGGTATAAATATTATCACGCATTTGTGAAAGAATTTTAGACCACCATTGACGTGTTTTGGGACGCATACCAGTTAGTTTATTTTAAAAAATTTTGGAAAAAATTAAACTTTTCTGCTACTTTGGTGCAATTTCAAGGTAGTTTTTTTTTGAAAAAAACCAGTAAAAATCATCTAAAATTTCGTAATATGTCTTCCCTTCTATACAATGAGACCAGGAAAAATAGAATCAACAATAAATACCATACAAAATACAGTCAATGTCGCTGTTTAATCCAAAAACATGACAAAGTTTTTTTTTTCTCATTCAAAATGTGTGCTGCAGGATTTTTTTTTTATCTGCGCACACTGACCAAAGACCCCTTTTTCATATGTAGGCACCAGCTTTTCCCCATGATTTGAGGGCGCTAGAATTTAGGTGACTAGTACGTCAAAAACCCCGGGCCCTAACCCTACTTTACGGCCAAAACCCTGAAAGGGTTTAAAGAAGTCATGCCGCAGAAAGTCGCTCTGCCCCACTGAAGGATGACCAGGAGATGTCTAATACCAGGAGGCATTAGGTCTAATTTCTTTCAAATTTGTTATTTTTCACAGTGGGGGCAAAAGCATGGTGAACCTGTCTAAAAAAGTCCCTAGGACCCATGCCCTTACTGTTTGCCCTCCACAGCACACACAAATTCCTTGAGATATTCTTTTGCCTGAAAGCCTGGAGTTTTTAGTGAACACCGTAAAGGCTTTCCCGCAATCACCACTAATTGGGGACACACAAAGAGTAACTTGTCTTTCATAGCTTTTGTCCTGGGAGTGCCTTTTCTACTGAGTAAAGTGGTCCCTGCTTGGCAATTTCTACAAAACAGGCCGTTTTGTCACAATTAAAAAATTGTTTTTTCCAACAACTTCAGCCCTAGTCTCCTTTAATTCATGCACATTTTTTCAGCTGCTTTGTGGTCCCAACTGGTAGCCTCACCATGCCTTACCACACTGTGTATGCCACTATGATTCTTAAATCTTTCAAATCAACCTTTGCTGGCCTTAAATTCACTCAAATCACCACTAGTTGCAGGCAATTTCTTTACCAAATCATCATGCAACTGCCTAGCCTTTTCACAAATGATCGCTTGAGAGATGCTATCTCCTGCTATCTGTTTTTCATTTATCCACACCAATAACAGTCTCTCAACATCTTCTAACACTAGCGATCTCTGTTTCGGAAACAAAGTTGCACCTTTTGGAACAACAGCTTTCTGATTGCCGTTTTCCTGCTCACTATAGTAGAGATGGTTGATTGGGGTTTACTATACAACCTGGCCAGCTCCGACACACGCACTCCACTTTCGTACTTTGCAATTATCTCTTTCTTCATTTCAATAGTCATTAGCAACTTTCTTCTCGAAGAGTTGACACTAGAAGCTTTCTTGGGGCCTATGGTGACTTATTTTGCAGAACCAAGCACCAAAAACTGATAATATGGAATGTACCAAATGTATCCTTAGATGCGCGCACACTGCCTGGCTTGTAAAGACTGGCACACACGGGGCGGTTCAGGCCACACGTGGACACGTCTCGTATGGATCGCATCGAATAGCAGGTTTTCGATCGAATGTCAAGGTGAAATTTTTGCGTTAAAATGCATCGAATGTCGGATTTATCGAATGTCGATGCCATCGAATGTCGGGGGTCCACTCTATAATGCCCCATTTCTTATGAATTCTGTTGTTTATACACTGAATTTTGCTGTACATCACATGCTTAATTTAATTGATCTTATTTCAGTAACACTATATTTTCTTTCCATATATTTTCTTTCCTATATTTTCTTGCGAGTTTAATCCGTTCCATGACCTTGCTCGCAACTGGATTTGCTCATGTGCAGAGTCAATTTTCCTCGTTTAAATTAATTGAAATGCAATAATCTGTTCCCGGCACTCAGGAGGCTAACAGGATACTTCAATATTTCACTAATATCATCTATACAGCTTATATATCTATCATAGTTCATCTAATATGACATAATAAACAATATTAATAACATAGAAACATGATATATACACTAGAATGAATGAAATATTACGTACAGGAAGGCCCCCGCTTAGCATTTATTTA